GTGTATATGTGCATTACGCTAAAACTAGTGTAGACCAGGAAACAAATGTATAGATTGTAAAATCTTAAGTTAGTGATGAATGTTTCTCTATCTTTGAACCAAAGGTAATGATTTATTGCAAATTTTAAAATATATATCACATCAAAAGGAAAACTCTGTCCCTCCCAAAACATAAACACACATACCTTCCCTTGGGAAAGGCAAACAAACCACAAAGGAGGAAGACTCCACTACTTCACAGCCAGAAAGAACGCCCACATCGATAAAGCCCACACAAAACCCATTCGTCGCTTTACTTCAAGATTTTTACAACAGGGTCATTCAGAACAAAGCAACATTAAGAAGCTGGTGACCCATTTCATTTCTGGTTGAACAGCTCTACAGTTGTTTTCAATTACTTATCTTGACATCTTATTCATTTGAGGGAAAATTAATTGAAAATAGCTATTTGCTGACAATACCAGCAAAGAATTTTTACACCGTCATGAAGTTTGGCCTATGTGTTAGGTCAACCTATACCCAGTTCTACATCTCAGTCGATGGTTTTAGAGACTTTATTATCCTTATTTATTATCTTTATTTAGTTATTGACCTTATTATCTTTTTTTGAAGAGACGACGTCTCACTCTGCCACCCAGGCTGGAGTGCAGTGGCATGATCATAGTTCACTACAGCCTAAAACTGCCGGGCTTAGGCAATCTTCCTGCCTCAATCTTCTGAGTAGCTAGGACTACAGGTGTGAGCCACCTGACAACCTTATTATCTTTATTGGTAGCACTCAAGAGCTTACCTTTATTTAGTTGAACTCATTTAAGAGTATAGTGATACCCTTAACTATAGTAATTTCAATCAACATGTTTTAATTTTAGCATTAGTGTGACCAAAACTAACCCCCATGAGTCTTTCCTTTGTTTTTTTAAAGCATTGGCTTCCTATTTAAGTCATATTATAAAATGCAGGTATGGATATATAATTGAAAATACATCACGTGAAAGGTATTACAGGGTGAAAAGGTTTTTTGCATTTAATATGCATGAAAAAACATCAAACTAATATAAACTCACAAAAGAAACTACACTTACCAAAACCAGCAATATCTAGGACTCCAATAAAATAGGATGATGTTTCAAAAGGAAAACACTGATTTACTCTGTTTACTACATGATCAAAAAGATGGCTGTAGACTGTCTTTGCCAAGGCATCACGAGCATTGTTTGCTTGCTCCACTTTCAGAGGTACCCTGTAAAAGAAGATTATGCCAGTAAAAATTCTTTATGATAGCATACTGTAAAAATAATGCCAGACCCAAGGTCAAAGTATACCTGCATACATTCACTGTGAAAACAAAATAAATAGTTACCCAGGGTCATGTGTGAATAGGCACATATAAACTCAGCTAAGTAGAAAACTGCAAGAGAAGAACTAAAGGAGTTAACTAAAATTAGATCGAAAATCTATTATTAGGTAAAAGAAGTTGAGGCTTAAAAAATCATTTTAACGTTAATTTACGCTTCGTTTTATATGCTGAATGTATAAAAAATTATTCAGGGGAATAATCTTTTTGATTTTATTCAAATGCAAAAGAAGCTTTGTTTAATTTAGGATAACTTTAAAGTTTGGTAACTTCTTCAGATTGTTCAGGAAAAAATGTTTACATCTTAAAATTTGAACTATCCAATTCTACTTTTTAATATAAGTAACTGCACAGAATAACAGTATTAGATGTTGCAGGTACAGATACATACCCACTGTACTCAAGACAATTATACTCTGATGAAGAGAGACTGGCATAAAAGGGAATTTCCAAACACCATGCTAAATGCTACCACAAAGATAAGCATGGGGCACTGTGAAAGCACCCCAAAAAAAGTCAAATTTGGAAGTAGGCTTGAAAGCCATTCAGGTCAGCCTGATACTTGAATTCTCCCTAAATAGTGCATTTCCAACTTATTATTTCCTATAATGGAATCCTTTCTTGAAGTGAATTTTATGCAGACACCCTATCCATTGAATGCATAAAACAAACACTTTGGAATAAAGCAGAAATGGGGAAATGCAGAAAACAATATCTGAGGACCACCCATCTGTACCTTATGGACATTCCCTTGGGCCCCAGACATATCTCTAAGGAACCAAGCAACTGAAGGACACTGCTCTACAAACTCCTTCCAGAGTTTTTCTTTATACTAAGAATCATTTTGAATTAGCTTAGCAAAGAATCTGGTTAAGCATATCTTGCTAATGTTTCCAAAAGTGTAAGAGGTAGCCAATTTTCTGAGTGGCTAAAAGCTTTTCAAAAAAAATCTTTGTTTTAATTTGTTGAAAATTTTTCTGATACACGTCACTAGAGCTCACTGCCTATCTTATTCAGCAAGGTAGAGAGGATCTGACTTTTTCCCCTCCAAAATGAAGATCTTGCAGTGCGCCTCAGAATGATAAGCCTGAGTATCAATTTTATTCTACAACACCAAAATCAAAAATACATAAAATATAGGATATTGTGCCAAAAGTATATATATACCCAGGTACAATCTCGAAGTTCATAGCTACTGATTTTAAAAATCTTGGCTAGGCCCATTTTCTTATCATGTGCAAGATTCTTCTAACTGAAGAATCCTAAAGTTAATGGAAGTTTCATTTGCTATTTTGCTTAAGTGAGTTCTGCTTAATGTAAGTTTTAGTACACACCATTTGCATGGAAAATCACTTTAAAGCAAAATAATCTGTTGCCTACCACAGTCAGATATTGATTTACAGTATCAGCTCCTATTTGCATAGCTGTACAAAAGTAAATCTCTCTCTTACCTTATAAATTCCAAATTTGTGCCTTCTAGAATATCTGTAAGGAACAACTTTAAGAGCTATGTTAAACCCTATTTATATGGTGGATTACTACAGTGAGATGCAAAAATTTTGATTTATCAAGCACAGGTTTTAGAACATTATAATGAAAAGAATGAATTACACATAAAGATCCACTTTAAATCTCAGTGTTCTCAAAAAAAAAAAAAAAGATTTTTCCTTGACAAACTGCAAGGCAAGAATTTTTGCAGAGCCATGATTTAAGGAACTTACTTTATAACTGTTCCTTTGGTGCCCCCTGCTGTTGTTAGCATGACCCGTGTGGTTAAACTAACTCGAAGATCATCTTGGTCCAAACCCAGTAACTCAGCACAGTATTCCAAAGACTGAGCAGATTTATTCTTCAGATTACAACCACCTAATTAAAATATATTTTAATTTCAAATTAATAAATGTTATATAAACCAGATTTTCAAGACCCATTTCTTAGAATTATACTTCACTTATATAAAACTATGGAATAGATAAGTCTTATTTGTAACTCTTAAATCTACCTTACATTTTTACTATCCCTGTCAGACACCCATACTTACTGCTAAGGTCAACAGAAGACCTTCACTCTGGGCAGTCCACGATATAATCCTTTCAGCTCATCGATATGAAACTGCCACTGTTTCATTTTTTTATGATTTTGTAAGTAAAACAGATTAATGATGGATTATAATCCTTTATATGAAATCTTTAGAGAAATATAGTATCTTATCATTAAAATTCATATGAGTCCAGGAAACTTTAAGCAGTAATTTTAGTGCTAATGTTGTAAGGCACTTTAGTAGGCCAGTTTGGATACAGATGTCTACGTACATGTGTATGTGTGTACATATGCATGTGCTTATGTTGCCTGGGTATGGAAGGAGAGGGTGAAGAGGCAATTGCTATTACCAGTACAGGTTGAATATCCCTTATCTGAAATGCTTGGGACCAAAAGTATTTCAGACTTTGGATTTTTTCAGATTTTGAAACATCTGCATATATATAATGAGATATCATGGGATGGGACCCAAGTCTAAACATGAAATTCATTTATGTTCATACACACCTTATACACACTTATACTGCCGTTCAGTTTCTCCAACAGCTTGACTTTCTGTGCTACAGATAAACATAAATGGTTCCTTTTTCTTATCACTGTTACCCAAGGGGTATCTGCAGGCCTCCTTGACATTTACGACATTATCTTTACACCACAGAGCAGAGAGTCAGCAAAAAAGCACAATGAGTAATGCACACAGGTCTTGGCAGCATGTGGAGTACTGTGAGGAACCTGCCACTGAAACACCCGGCCTGTACCTGTGCCATTTTATCACCTTTTGTGTTTGCCTGGGGGAACCTGGGGGTGTGAGGAAAAGACATACCTCAGCTGAAGGGGGCTGGGAGGGTCATTTTTTCCCTGGGAATGCTAAATAAACTGTGCTGCACCTGTGTTTTGACTGTGACTTGTCGTGTGAGGTCAGATGTGGAATTTTCCCCTTGTGGTGTCATGTTTTTGCTCAAAAACTTTCAAATTCTGGAGCATTTCGGATTTCAAATTTTCAGATTGGGGGTGCTCAACCTATACATCACGTCTATAGATTTATCCCTATAGAGGCTGTTTTTAAAGTATTACATAGAAAGACAGTGCTGTAGTTTCTAGGCTGATCTGGCTCCACACTACAACTTTGAACACGTTACCTATTGTCTCTGTGCTCAGTTTCCTCATCCATAAAATTTAAATAATAATTGCACCTACCTTATATGATGGTTACGAAGAATAATAAAGTAACATGTGAAGTGCTTAGAATAGTGCCTGCTACATAGTAATCATCATATAAAAAGTAACTATTATT